GGGGGGACGTTTGGAGTGATGGCGTTTGTCTTCCCAAGTCACCATTAGGCGTGATGGAGCCCTGCTTTCCTGGAGATGGCTGAACACCTGCCTGCTGATGGGAAGGAGTGAATGAATTCCTTGTTTTGCTTTGCTTGCGCGTGTAGCTTTTGCTTTCCCTATTAAACTGTCTTTATCTCAACCCACGAGTTTTCTCACTTTTACCCTTCCAATTCTCTCCCCCATCCCACCACGGGGGAGTGAGCGAGAGGCTGTGTGGGGCTTAGTTGCCGGCTGAGGTTAAACCATGACAGTATCCAATTAAGACAATCCAATTTAACATTCATGGAAACAAAAAATTCTTATTTCATGGGTTCATTCTATTCTTAAACCTAGATATTATTCCTAGATATGCTTCTGAGATATTATTGTACTATACAGTCTAAGATCAGATACAGTCAACAAATCCTGGAAACACCAGGATCTAAAATAGCAAACTGAAGCTGGAGTTTCACTAGAGGTACAATCTCTTGAATCTTTTGGCTTTTATGGCTTTTAAAAACAAATGCAGGTAAAAAGAGCTGAAGGAGTTTGATGACAGAATGCAGATCTTATGAGCTGCACACATCAGACTTTTATATTAAATTTGTAGGTAAACTTGATTATTCAACTATTCAATTTGTAGATAAATATAGAGTGACTGGAATGCATCTATTCCAGCATCTTCATTTTTTACATTCTTTGAATTAATCTTCATTTACATGCAAGAAAGTCCAGAGTAAAATTCACCTGCTCTGTGTTCAGATGAAGATGTCACTCAGTTTTCATGCAGGGAGCCAAACATGATTCTAAAACAACATTTTTAATAAAGTTGTTCCTTTGTATTTCAGCTAAGAATATTTGCGGTGCTCAGAAAGCAGCATCATTTCTTTGGCAACCAAGTTCAGATTTCTATAGCAGCAAGGACAATTCAAAAATTAACACAGTCTTTCCTAAAACTGCTACTGCATAAATCTCTGCTGTACACTTAACCAGAGTTACCTGCACTGAAGTAATTCCTCTCTAAAGGGCAACGTACAGTGTGAAACATTATTTGAACTATTTTACCCATAAGGTACTTGAGATATTATGCACAGTGCAAAGGCTTCTGGGAGCACAGTCCCTGCATTGCAGTAAGCTCAACTACTCTCTAAATTCTTTCCTGGTGAATTACGGTAAAACTGGAGCATGCTGGGGAAACACAGCAAAGACACTGGAGGATTATACAGGATGCTCACTGAAGCCAGGTTGCACCCAGAACTGAAGAACAGTCACATTTTCAGCTGAGCTGTCCTAACCCAAATACTATTTGATGAGGTGGCAAGCTCAGGTTAGCAGCATTACCGTATGGGATTTAATGGGATTTTTGCAAGGAGGACTCAAATTGTAGCTTAAATGAAATAGTCTTAAGATATGGGTAAGGTAACTCCTCCAAGAATATACTTGCTCTCAGCTTTCAGTATTAGAATTTGCTTCATTTATCTGCTTTCACCAAATGACAAGGGAACTTTAAATTTTTCTAGGACAGAACTGAGAAAGGAAAAAGAAATATATTTCAAAGGGTGCAATTATTGCAGAATCAGTATTGGAACTAACGGCACTAAAATAATTGTTTAAAATTAAGCCAGTTTCTGCCTCAAGAACTCACAGGCAAAGAAGATGGATTAAATATATCACTTTCATTGTACAGCACAATTGTATGACATCCAATCAAAGTAAACAGCACATGCATTTATTTTCAATTGCTGCCTTTCAAACAGATAAAACTACGAAAAGAATAAAAAACAAATCTTCATTTAAAAAAAGATTGTAAAATCCTCAGGAACTACCAATGAAGCAGGCTAGTAAAATTCCCCTTCCTGCCATTTTCACTGAGGCATTTGTTAGAACAGCTATGCGTGACTTGGTAAATACCATGTACCTGCACCAGAGGAAGCAACGAATAAACCGTAACATAAATAATTTGTAGTATCTTCTGCAATAAATACCTTTATCTTTATCACGTGAAGACTTGACTGGAAAGGACTTTTGGAAGAGACTTCTTTATAATGAATGAAATTCTCTTGCTATCTTGGCATTGATAATATCTTTTTTTATATATATATATGCACACACATAAACATGTATGTATGTACACACACACGCACACACAAACATACAGCTTTTATACCGATGATAATTGTCAGGAATAAAAGAAAAGAAGAATAGAATAAAAAAGAATAAAAGGGGCCAAAAGACCTAGCCTATGCAGAAGCTCTATGTTCTGTGCCATGATGAAGAGCAGCCCTGTCATGACTAGTTTCCCAGCTGACAGCCCATAAGAGGATGAAAGCAGTGTTGAAGAGGTAATCTCTTGTGTCCCAGCAATTAGCATGCACAAATATTAGCATGGTTTGTTACAGGACGATGATTACTTTGTTCATGACTCCCTGGAGGGCCACCCACAGAAGGGAAGTAAGGCAACTTACAGTGATGGAAGGAGAAAAAAAGGCAGAGTCTGATGACTGGCACTGATGCAATGTTGGCCACCTACTCATGACCAGGAGAACTGGATTTTGCTCCAGTTCAATTGCAAGACTCTCTAGATTCTTCTCTTCAGGCTTCAGACACACAGGAGAGCATGTCTGCTATACTGCTGTTCATAATATCCTTCACTTACCTTCCAAAAACTGTATGCTTCTTGTCCAGATATGCACAAGAGCGGAATGTGATGAAGCTGGAAGGAATAAAGACGTAACAGTTAGCATATTATCTCATCGACACCCAACAGCAGCCAGTAATGCTTAAAAATGGAGAGTGTACGCAACAGGTCTCTGAGAGAGGACAAGCCCCTCTCTCTCTCTGGCTCCTCTCTGGGAGGCATGCTGGCCAAACATCCTTTAACTCCTCTGTTTTGTGGGTTTTGTCTTGGATTTCTGGAGTTTTGACTTCTCATTTTTATACCTCACTAACATCCCTAAACAGTACTCCAAGCATGGTGACTTGTACAAAATTAATGTGAGCATCTGCCTCCTTGGCCAGGCAGGCCCTGGGAAGCTCATGCAGGACAGGGAGACGTGCATCCTGCTGGAGAAGTACATTTCTTGTGCATGATTGGGAGCTTGTATCCAGCAAATGTAGTTATGTAACACAACAGCCAGTGTAAACTTCCATCTTTTAGGATATTTACTTCTTGCGTTTATCTTCCATTAAATTGGCCTGTCAGTGATCCATTTCTTCTCTGGACAGAGCAAATTTGTGCTTTGGATACAAACATGGCAGAAGAATACTTCAAAGTGTCAAAAGTAATGAAAACCTGTGAAACTTGGATTTTTAATTTTTACTTAATCGGACTTTTAATTTTCGGGGTTGTATTTTTAAACGTAAACATGGGAACTAAAATACCAAATCCAAAGCAACCTTTACTACTAAAACTTTTCTCTAAAGCTTAATGCTTCTTTGGAAGACTCAAGACTACAAGTATATGAGACAGAGGTTTCCACACTGTGGTCTGCAGACCACGATGGCCCATCTTGGCTGGACATGCAGTGCTGGCTCTCCTCCCTGTCTCCATCTGTTACACTATATTAGAGACAGCTAAAAATATATAAGCATTCCAAAAGCACTCTTCCGTATAAGCAACTGCCTCAGGAAGTTATATGATTGCAAATAGGAGGGGCTACAATCTGCCAGACAATCTATTATGATGTAGCTTGCCCTAGGAAAGCTTTGAGATGCTGTGCAGAATGCAAACTCCTACACAGGGCAAACATTACAATGTAGCCTTCTGCATGCCTTCTTTGCACCAGTTTATTCCCAGATATCCAATACTTAAGATTATCAAGTGGTCAGTTATGTAGCATTGTAATAAAAAAAAATCTGAGCAGTAGCAAATATACAGAGAAAGCTTCTCATCCATCACCGCAGTCAAAATAAAATTAAGGACAATGGAATTAACATAACTCAGGATGATCACAGAGGAGAAGTCCCGAGCATTATTCGAGCATCACCTTACACAAGGGACCCGGATCACTCTGCACTGCAGTGTCTATCACCTATGGGGAGAGCTACTCACCCAGTTCCTAAGGTCACAACAGTTGCCAGAAGTGTCTAAACACTGCCTAAGAAGCTTTATAAATACGGGCAGCTGGAGTCTCTCAAGGACTTCACATATAAAGGAATTTCATATTTCATTTGTAAATTTCAGGGAAATATACAATCACATTTACAGCAGCAGATGACGTGACTCAATATGGCACATCACTGATGAACTGTCTTTAACTTCTGTTTCTAGAATCCCTTTTAACAAAAAAAAAAAAGAAGAAAAAAGCCTCTACTCTCCCCTAATTTAGCACCTGAGTGCTGGCAATAACATTCAAATCCAAAATAAGCTCTACAGCAACTCGATCCTGCAAACTGCCTAACGTGCTTAGCCTTAAGTATGTGAGTAAGCCTATTAAAGGCCCTGAGACAAGCACTTGCGTTTAATTAAAGCTAACCACACTACTGCATAGTTTACAAGCCATAATAATACTTAGCATCGTGAAGACCAACACCAAGAATCCCCTCCCTCCCCAGTCCCAACACACAGTACTGTACACACACACATGCTCACTCTCTTTCCTGGGGCTCCCAATAAAAGTACAACTTTTTTTTATTGCAGTACTTAGAGAGCAACTAATAAATGGATGGCTGAAAGTGACACAATATTTTCAAAAGACTGCAGGCAAACACCCGTATTAATGTTACACATAAAGAACGTTATTATAACTTCACTATCTTTAAATTTCATTTGTTGTTCTTCCTGCTTCTTCATTCATTTTTTCCTCATTTTAGTCCTCATTCTGCTTTTGTGCACTGAAAAACAAGACATTCTCAATCCCAGATTCTGCACTCTGCCACATCTGGGTTCTACACATTTCAACAGCGCAGAACTGTTCTCATTTATTTAAAACCAGGTGAGTAAAAAGAAGCAACATTTCCATAGAGTATATGTTTCATTTCATTAAGCCCTTTCAAAAAGTTCAATACGGGGCTAAATTTAAACAGAGTGGAGAGGTGTAATGATCTCACAGGGATAAGTGGGGGGACACGGACAAAAATGAACAAGAACTTCAAATCATAAAACCAGAAAAGACAAATTAATGATGATATGATAAACCTACAGGTCTTCTTGCTGTGCTTCACTTTGCTCTTAGATTGGGTAACGGCAACTGTAGCTACCCTGATTTCAATATGCAACACTCGACAGAACATTTCACTTGACTGAACTTTAAGGAGTAGCTCATAAAATGTCACTTGTTTTCTTAACAGAGTAAGACACAGTGTCTAGAGGGAAACAATAAAACACAAAAAGCAAGTGACTACTTACAACTGTGATTTGTTTGTGTTGGGTCCCGAATTGGCCATACTAAGAACACCACGTCCCGTGTGGGACAAATTTGGCTTAAATTCATCTTTGAAAGGTTTTCCCCAGTAAGATTCTCCTCCTTAAAAGAGAAAAGATGATAGAAGAAATGTTTGTTTTCATTAGTTTCCCACTACATTTTTTAACAGGCACTGACACTAAATTCAAGGTTTATGGCACTTCTGATCACTATGTGTATAATATTTTCTTACCTCATCCCTATCACTAGGTTAGTATTTGAGCATGCCCTTGAAATCAGATGTTTATAACTGGCAACACAATTCTGTGCCCCCACACTATCAACTGCAACAGACCAGACTGTTTATGAACAGCATTATATATTGTGTGCTAAAGAACTGTCAAGGATTTAATTTTTTACTGCTGGTCCACCATAATTTTTCTTTTTTGAGACATTAAATCTTTAAAAGTGGCTTCCTGACAAAACATAGAACAAAGAATTACTAGCTTAATTGCACTCTGGATTAGCATTGCTTCTGGAAATAAGTGTCAGGGAGATGAAATATGTTCATAAAATCAACTAAGAATAGGAGCTATAAGGTCAAATGCTTAATTCCTGGCTAAACAATGAAAAATGGCAATATGTATTCCTCCAAAATAAAAGGCAAAACTTAGATTATTTGGACTAGATACCTGGATGATGTAAACACTTAAATGCAATGAAGTCAAAAGGATGATAAAACTTTGCACAAGCCGCAGACCCAGCCCTCCACAACTGATTTCTTTTCTGTGTCTGTGGATAGAAAGAGGGTCTGGCAGACCTCTCCTCCTGGCTGTCATTTTTACATTATTTATGACAGATCTGACATTTTCATTTGCACTTTCCTCCATGATCATTCTTAGTAAGAAAAATGAAGGCTGAGATGAGTCATAGTTTTACAGTCAAATCCATAATCTTGTTTGACAAACCATGAAAAAATATTTCACCTTAGCATAGTATTAAAAATAAAACAAACAAAACTATCCAAACAGGCAGCAAGTCTGGTCCATCTGTAGAATTGGCTCAAGAATCTTCTAGAGTAACTGTATTACTTGCGAAGCAGAAGGTCAGTAAAGGATCTGCAGTGCTCAACGGTATTTCCACATGTAATACAGAAAAACAATTTGATGATACAACTGCACAGGCAAGCAGCAAATAAAACTGAGGAATAAAACAGGCTCCTCCCAAAAACCTTATGCAGAAAATCACAAGAGTGCATCAAATGAGAAAAGAATTTCAGATGATACCACAAAAACAAAGCATCACACGTGGACAGCTGCAAGTGCAAGTGGAACTAAGTAAGCAAGAAATTTTGGAAGAAACTGACCCACTTAAAAACCCAGTTAATCATGTTCAAAAGACCTATTAACAGAGTTGAGTGTAGCCTGCTCTGCAATTTGACAAGAGGCAGCAAAAGGGGACAAACCCTGTAGGGATTTTCTGTAATTAGGAGTAGAGAAGGAGTGATTACTTCAGCAATCTTTGGCTATTGAATATTTTAAGATCAGCTAAATTACATCAGCTTGATCCCCTATGCCAATCTCTTCCAGTAGTGGGTGAAAGGGATATGGTACAGCTGCAGCCAGCTCTACTGTCTTGAAGATGAATCCAAGACCCAGCTATTCTAGGCAAATCCAAAGTGTTCAACCTATTAGAAAATGTCTTACCAGAAGCCAGTAATTTTCTTTGCTAGTGAATCTCCTTGTGTATTCCTATTTGCTAAGAGAGGTTACTTGTGCAGTGCCTGCTACTTACTTTGTCCAGAAAAACAAAGTTCTTCTAGGTTAGTAAATAAACAAGTTACGCTCAGAATATAGCGAGGCTCCACGCCAACAGGATTGCCCGAAACCAGAAACACACCTGCAAAGCCTGCAGACCCACTGCCCATCAACAGCACTATGCTCTGCGCACTATTTCTCCTTCCCTCTTCACCTTTCACAGTTTTCACCTTTCCACTTCCATTTGGCCTGGCGGGGCAGCACTGGGGACGGGTTCCCTGCCCGCACCGCCACGCCACTGCAGTGCCATTGCTTAAGGCCCTGCATTTCTGCTCTCAGTCACAGCCGGAGCTCTTTGCACCTGAGTAACAAACTTCACTTGGACTTCCCTTAGAGAAATGCATAATTGTGCTTCAAAGGATCTCTTGAAGGAACTCCTAATTATTTGTAAAGCAGATGCACTTGCTACAAGTCCTAACCTAGAGGAATTTTTGCTGTCTGAAATTTTCAGATGATATGCAAACATGAACACAGCAGCATGTGGCCAAACCCTTGAGTCTGTTACACCCTTCATATAATTCCAGTTGATGCTGGAAATACAGCATTGTCAAGCTGCTGAAAGAGAGTGGAATCAACCCTGAAGCCTTTGCTGGTCAGAAAAATAATTCAAAAGGAAAGAGAAAAATTGTGAATGACAGAGAGACTCTCTCTTTCTGGCACAACAAGCAACCAGACCCAAGAGCTTGCAGACAGGAGCAATGAGCCATGATCTTTAGGTTTTGGAATATTTATTTTTGTGTGATTTTACTTCAGATCATGCACTGCAGGTCAGAATTAATCTCATATGTATGAAGGCTAACTTTGTTTCATTCCAGTTCTCTGGAAATAAGTGCTAATGTTTTAGTAGATAGTTACAGCATGAGATCCAGTCCCTGCTTCCCCCTGCCATACAGCTGTTTCCATGGCTAATTCTGTCTGCCCGGGAGCTGCAGCAAGAACAGAGAATGGCCTGTGCAGCATTCGCCTAAAAGGCCAGATGTCCTATAAAGGATATAGCTGAAGTATCTGCGGAGGCCTGGCAGCACAGACTGGCAAGGGGCGGTGGAGACGCTTCAAAGGCAGGCAGTCAGCAGTACAGGAATGGTTTGGGGTTTTTTTGTTGTTTTTTTAAAAGAAAAAAAAAATTAGATACAATACTTTTTTTTTTTTTTTAAAGGAAAAACCCTAAAGTATTCTCCTTAAATTAAAAATAGCCTGAATGTGCTGTTTGTCAAACTCCTGCTAACCTCTGGAATTGTTCCAGGTTCAAGTATCTGCTTGAAGCAGGAGCAGACAGAGCAAGCCAGAAGATGGCGAGTTAATGTGGTTTTTTTTTTTTAATTACTGAAACCCAGAATCACTTTCTCTCTGAAGATTAGGTACAGATCCCTCACTAGTCTACTGCCATGGCAGCACAGTGCCTAATGCTCAGCCGGGGTGGGTCTGAAACAGGGATTTTAGATTCTTACATTTTACTCTCTATGGTAGAGCTCAATGTAAACTCAGGAAAATGAGTCACAGGCTCGAAACCTACTACTAATAATTATGAGGCATTCGGAAGTATCTAGCAGATTTTACTGTGTTTATTCTTGACACAGCTGGGAGGTGTGGCTGTGCCATCTTTTTCATTTTCTGAAAGCACAATGGATGCAGACAGACAGAGGAGCTGGGACCGTCACACTGTCTAGCTCTAGCCCTCTCATGTTACACTCCCCGTATATGCCATAAAGACAGGAGGCTCCTCCTTATATTCCCCAAATCTTCCTCTGAGAGCACACAGATCATTGCTGACTATATATGGAGTCACGATGATGCAAAAACCTCACCCCAATGCTGATGTACTAGCCTACAAGCAAAGCCCATGGAAAACAAGAACTAACTCTGGGTGTTAGATTCACAGCGGGCAGCACTGCCTGCCACCTCACCTTCCTCTCAACTTACTCCTGATAAGATTATCTTCTGTCAAAGTGAAGCTGTGTGCCTACTGGACCTGCAGATGTTTCTGAGATCCTATTACAAAAAGTGCTGGAAAAAAAATTCTGGGGGCTTCTGTGCTAGAAGTCAGAGGAGTTCACATGGCAGCAGACATGGCCCCGGGTAGGTACTGCCACTGGCTGGATTGGTGTTGGGAGTGCAAAATGGAACAGTACTTACAACCCTGCACATGGGGGTCTCCTGTTTGCACAAAGCTGGAAATGTACTTGGGATCAGCCACGGAAATCCACTGGCCTTCTAACAGCATTTAACCTGTACAACGTCAAAGCTTTCAGGAGCCAGAAAGAGTTTTTGCACAATTCTGTAAAATAAGAATCACATGCCTACCCAGATACCGAAGATTCAAAGCTGAAGGCAGCTGGGAGCCACTTCCCCACATTTTTAATAAAAGAGAAAAACTCTTAAATTAAAGAGGTGTTCACCTAATTCTCCCACAGAGATGAAACCAAACAGACCACACAGCTCATAGAAAAAATTAGACTGTATTCATCATTTCCACTGCTATCCAGACTGGCAAGATATATTTAGCTTGTAACTGAAGCATGGTTAGTTATTCAGTCTCTTATCTGCACCTTGTGCTGATAGTGAAAAGGTGAATAGATGTAAACTGACATCTGAAGCAATCACACATTAGCAACTATACAGAAAAAAGCCACGTTTTCAGATTGTCTTTTGAACTAAACCAGCTTACTCTTTGGTAGCCTTTATTCCTTCTAAAGGCATTTTTTTCAGAAAGTAATTTTTTGGGTAAAATTACAGAAGTTGTACAACTTTCTTGCAAAGAGCTGAGAGATGCACCTAAAGCTTCAGAAATGTAGCATTCCAAAAGCCAGGTGTGAGCTGACAACCATTCATGACAGTTGTGATTTTAAAGAAATCCTTCCTTTTTCTGGCATAAAAATTGCTAAGCAGTGGTAAGGAAGTGGGAGGGCTCTGATTCACAAAAATAATGGCTTACTTTCTGTAATTTTCTTCTTGTCATTTGGAACCACAAGGTATGTAATAACATCTGACACTTCCATATAGCTTTCCAAGTGAGATTCTTGAATCATTTTGCAAATACGAAAGCCTTAGCTCAGCCAGTAAGTGCTTCTCTCCCTTCAGGTAAAAGGACACAGTACTTTTAACCCCACATACCAGAGGCTGGATTTTCAGAGGGGCTGCAATCTAAAAGGAGTATATTGCTAGATAAAAAGGTCCTGCTCTCGTCCTTTTGCTGAGCTTCAATCATGCAAGAAAAGGGGCTCTAAAACCGGTTACATTTAAGGAACTTCCCTTGTTAGGAAATCACATTGCAGAACTGATGAAGTTTGTCCACAGTCCCGGGGGGGTAGTGAGTGCGCGGACAGGGCGGGCGGGCGAGGGGGGAGAAAGTCCTTCGCTCTATCAGTGGTATTTTATCTTGGGCTTTTACAGCTATTATATGCCTCCTTTGTGCCCTCCTGAATTCATAAATGGACAGAGGCACACACAAGCCGATTCATGAGACCTTCCAACAGGTTGCAAGTAAGAGTAGCTGAAAAATGCCTGTGCCGCTTTGAAAATGTAATGTTTTGCGTATAGTCTTCCCTTTTTCATACAAAGGGTGTAGGATATTAAACCTATTTTTCCTACATGCAAATTTTCTTCTATTATTTGGAACACTGAAAATACAGAGCAGCTGCTCCACTTGCACTAGCATGAGTTAGACAGAATTACTCACAATGTTCAACAATTTAGTTGTTATGAACAGCAGGAAAAGAGATACATCACAAATCTAAAATTCATTTTCAAATAATTAATCATTACAAAGAATGACCATGACTCAGCTTATTGCTCTGAATACTGCCTCTACGGGTGGTTATTTTGTTAGGAAAGAAATAAGCTGCTGCAGCACAATAACACTTCTCCCAGTAGTCTTATGAAACATTAAGTTGAAGGCTATAGAAAATTAGTTTGGTCCTCTAAATCAGTGTCAGTCTTACAGGACTGTATATCTAACTGCTTTGGCAATGCAGGTCTGCCAGCGAAGCTAAGGTAAAACTCTATTCCCCACTCTTTTCCCAGTGTGGTATCTCAACTTCTAGATGCCATAATGCTAATTTTCACCCTCCTCCATCCCAAGGTTAACTGCTGAGTACCAGGAATCAGTTGTCTTTCATGTGTCTGCTGGGTCACAGTTACTTTTATGACAGCCTAACAAGCGACTCAAAAAGGACACATTGGGGTGCTGAATAATAAAAGAAATAAGGATCAGTGCTGCTTACAGATAGGACTGTTCAGCTGGAGTAGTTGTGGAAGTGGACAGTCAGTGACAACCAGCCTGGCATTTTACATCTGTGAAATGCTTCCAAAACACAAGCATGCTTATCTAGGTGAGCCGAGAGCACAGCTGCAGTCTATGTACGTATGACATGTAACCTTACATCATGTTGTACTGAATGTGCCTAAATCCACCCAGAAGCCAAAGAGTCCTGGGCTTAGTTAGCAATGGAGTGGGTGATCACCTAAGCATTTGGGTGTTGCAACCATAAACCTGACACCTGTTGCTGGGATGAATGTTATATGACAGAAACCAAATGGTGGGAAGATTTTTGAACAAGTCTGTTCAAGTTCCTGAGCTGATGAACAGGAATAATTAAATAAATATAACAAAACAAAAAGATATACAGGCTTAATGCACCTTCCACATATCAGTTTGGAAAAGGTGGGGTTTTTTTAAACAAAAAAACCATCCCAAACCTCTTAGCCAGAAAATTTCAGTTAAAGCAGAAGGTTCTATGTGGAAGAGGAAACAAAGGATGTTCTTTTTTCTGAAATCTTCCTACAAAAGGCTCTAGCAGAAACAATTCTCGCAGTTTAAAATATTGACGTTTAAAAGGTAACCTCCAAATAGTCTTCCCTATTGCCAATTGAAATATCTGGGAAGAAAGCTGTTCTACTCTCATATGCTTCTCTGATATTACAGAAGTCAAGTTATTTACTCCTCCAGTAAACCTTTAAAGACCATTAAATCTTACGGACTTTTTAGCTTTCAAAGATGCATCTTTTTTTTTTTTTTTCCTCCTAAGAACCAGTGAGTCAAAGAAATACTGAAATTCCTTCCAGCTGCCAGAAGAAATAAAAAAGGGAATTTATACTGTAAATAACACACAAGACACAGGTAAAAAAAGGTACAAAGTACTGAATCCCAGTGCTTTACTCCAAAGCTTTCCTAACATGAATGCTTGTCATCACATTAATAACGCGCAAAACAATGGACCAAAATTTTTACACCATGGGAACCTAGGAGAGCATCACTACATGTGCCATGTTCTTACACTGCTGCCAAGCTGTACCTTCCTCTGGCTGCGCTGCTGTGGAGAGAACATAAAGCCAGACAAGCACCTTAGGTCTGGCCACCTTCTTACAGCATGTGGCTCGAGATGTGCAAATGAAATTTCTGCCTCACATTCAAGTGTCCAGGATCTATCAGGTAGTCAGGAACAAATCCCGACAGACTACTTGCACTCTCTGAACTGTCTAAGCAGCTTCACTTAAGTAAGTATTAAACACGCAGGCATGACAGTTCAAGAGAAATCTAGTAGCCCACCAGGCTGTCCATTTACAACGTTTTCTTGTGATATTATCATATTCAATAGTGATTAAGTAAGGATATCTAAAATTCAGCTGTCTTCAAAAAATAAATACCATTCAGTTGCAAAGAAGATAGCTGCATCATTTGGACTCTACAATAATTGCAAACAGTCTCTAAAAATCTGCAACACATATCTATTTGAGTGTACACTGTCCATTTTATTAGAACTTTAGTAGTCTTGACAGATGTTTGCAAGACATCTCACCTGCAATATATTCATATTTAATTAAGAATGACAAGGAGGAAAACAAGATGGAAAAGACTAGAGGTCATTACACTCCTTTTTTTAAATAAAAGAATACACATAGGAGGTTTTTTCTCCTATGGGCTTATTTGCATTTTACTTCCTACTTGCTTTGCCAGTAGAGCTCAGTCTTGACCTTCAGTGCAGCTGCACTGCCAGTCCTCTGCCAACTGTTAATTGTGCTGTCTTAGAATACTTCTACCATTTGCACAAACAGAGACAAGAACGACACCAGTAAGTTAATTTTCATTCCACAGCAGGATCTGAACTCCACCCTACAAGGGTGAAAGGTGTCTGAGTCAACCCATTAACTTTCTCCCGTCTCCTGATACCTCTTTAATTTCTCATTTTAAAAGATGTTCCTGATTATATATTTTGGGATTTGAACCGCAACTTTCCTTATAACAAAATCAAATCACATTTCTTTTGACAGTCCAAGCATATACGGTAACAAATCTTGTTAATGGGCTTTTGCCACCAAAACACAGAACCTTTTAACTAGTCTCAAATCTTAGAGTATGCAACTGTTGATTATAGCATGCAGTAGAAGAAAAGCTGTTGGGCAACTTACACTAACATTATTTACAAAGTAAATAGAGCTAAAGTATTTAACAACTACAAAGACATCTTTTTTGGATGACCTGTGAGCACACACAGAAGAATATAGCGCTTGCATACACAAGTGACACATGTATGAACTAGAATAAAAATGCACAGAACCCCACAGGACCAGGCGAGGAGCTGTGGAGGCTGGTGACATCTACAAGTGGGTAAGATAAAAGGTGCAAGTGGAAAATGAGCAGATTTACAGCAGCAACTAGACATATTACATGATGTATCTATTGTGGTGGGCAACGCTCTGAGGACCCTTCAGCTGCTATGTCTCCTGACCATTTCTGATATGACTGTTACGCAGATCTCCAACTAAGGGAGAAAGAACAGGCAGAAGAACTTAGTAACAGTGATCCCTAAAAGTTAGAAAAAGAGCAGCTTGGGCTTTACAAGGCAAGTAGCTGGGAGAACAGATGGTATCTGGCCATTCACCAATTCTGAGGCAGGTCTCAAGTATTTCATTAATGCTGAATTTGAAAGCAACTTTGCATGAATGTGTTTCTTCCTTTGTTCTTTGCCCTGGAAGGCCAGCTGTAAAATCACTATAATTTTCATTTATTTATTTTCTGGAAGAAAAAGGAAGCAAAGACCCAACAAGAATTCTGCATGGAAGAGTACCCAAGTTTTAGACTGAGAATGTATCGGATGAAATTTTGAGCATAGTTAAAATGGTCATAAAAATATAATGATAAAACCTCTGCTTTAAAGTAGAAATACTCAGAGTGTACCACATATCATCATTTAGAGAATTTTAATCTAAAAGGTGTCCAGAAATAAATGTAACAACACAGCGCATTAAGTGAAAACAGTTTACTTGATTCAAACTCAACCTTACCTGTTCCTGTTCCAGTCGGATCACCTCCTTGGATCTGCAGAATTAAAATTAAATCAATAGGTTACATAGATATCTGTGTGAAAGACACTAAATACAAGCCATAAAAGCCAATTCTGCTCAATTTTCTTCCTTCTGTATTGTGTCATGTTGACAAGTTAGCAACAAGGAAACCATTACTACTTATTTGGAGCTTATTTTATCAGCTGGCTGTCATCTCCTACATTACTTATCCAAGAGCAGAATGACAGTTTTATAAAAATAATAGGTGTCTTGTGGGTAAACAGGGAAAATAAACAGTCTCAAATGGGTTAACCAGATCATCCTTTCTATTATGCGCTGAGTCGTAACCTGCTTTTTAATTGATGATGCATTGCTTTTGGAACTGAAAAGGCTTTACATTTTGCTACTAATCCTCCACATGACGGAAAGGCAAAAAATAAGGGAATATGGAATATTTTCTGTATCTGAATCTTTATTTCTCAGTATCCCCCTCACTATCTGCAGTAGGGAAAATCCTCATGTGAAACCAATCTTTCAGCAACAAAATTAATCACTGTATATAGATGCAGGATCTACAGAAATAATATTCTATATTCTAATGCCAGTAGAGGGAGCGTGACATGACTAGTTTCACAGTAATAGCACACAAGCACAATTTTAGTTGTGAGTTTAACTGTGAACTGAGATATACAGTGCTGTGAAAAGAAAAAAAGTTTTTAGGATGACAGGATGGAATGTAACATTCAGTGATGTCCCCTGAAAGATGTGCTCTGCCTTCAGGATCAGGTTGTTAATTCTTCTGAAAGGAAGTTACAGGACAGCTACAATATCCTAAGCTGCCTGGACCGTACCTATGTTAATAAAGATCTTTGACTACCAAAGTCAACTTTCTGGTTCACTAGGTGCTCTTTAACTCCTTCACAAAGAAAGCCTGGGCACCTAGTCCTGGAGCACACTCAGGAAAGGATGATGTGACGGTATCTGAGTACCACAACCTGAAACAGAAATTCAGCTGCTTTCTAAAGTTTCATCTGAATGGGATTTCAACAGGCCACAGTATTACTTATCCAAATTAGCATTTCCCTCTCCTCTTCCCCCCCCCCCCCCCCCCCCCCTTTCCCCCCCCCCCCCCCCCCCCCCC